TTGCTAAGCAATAAAATAAAAGCATTTTTAGAAAACAGATCAGCGGATCACAGTTTCGGAACCACTGTTCTAGATCTAGAATATGAATATCAATATTTTAGATAAAAAACACTGTAGATAGAAGTCTTTTATCTACAATGTTAAATATCTCTATTTGTTATCAATAAGGAATATTGGTAATTCGGTTAATTATAATCACTAACTCTAATTCTTTCAACATAATAATTTTTTTAAAAAAATGCGCTTTTTTATTGCCCAAAAGGCGAGAAGAATCAAAAATGAGAAAAAATTTGGAAAAGAAATCTATATAATAGCAAATATATAGATTGTTTACTAGAAATTTTTATAATATTCGATATAAGTTAAATGTCGAAAATAATGCAATTATGTCTTATATTTTACCTTGCTAATAATCTATAATATATAGGCTACAATATTCTCACAATTTTTAAGTATATTTTAGTAATAAACCGAGTCCATAAAGTAGGACGATAAATCCACTCACAAGTGAGTTTATCGTCCTACTTTTCGTCCATGTAAACAACTAAGTGTATGTTTTTTCAATGAATTTTGCATGGATGCTGATAAAAAATTCTTCTATTTTATAAAATATTATTTATATTTTATACCTTATATTGGATAGATGTTTTTATTTCAAAATTTATAAAAATATTTTTATTATTTGTAAGCAGATTAATTGTAAAGTATTATCGACAAACTTCAGAAGCAAGAAAAATAATATTTCTATTTCTTCTAATTTAATAATAATAATTTAATACCGGTATTATTTTACTATTTTAAGATTTTTAGATAAATACTTTTATAATTTTTTATTAATTAATTTTTACAATACAGTCAAACCTATGAACAACGACCACTTATGGAAACATAAAACATGATCATTGTTCGGAAGTGACAGATTATTGTTTTTATGGCGATTATTTTGTATGCATTTAATAAAGAAACGTTCCTGAAGAGTGGCCGCCATTTAAAGATGGCCATTAATGGAAGTTTGATTGTAATATGTAAAATTTATTATCTGGGATTGTTGAAAAGGAAGGCGAACGAATTTAATTAGAAAACAATTCAAGTAAATTTCGATCTAGTTTTTATAATAATTTTAACGTTATTGCTAGCAAATAATTTTTAAAACATTTACTGAAGTAATTTTGTGGTTACTAATCCGCTAATTAATTCATTACTGTCTCGAATAGCTTTATCGGTATTGATTATTAATTATAATCCAATGAGATTTTGGTCTATATTTGAGTCATTCTGTTTACTGTTTTTACTTATTCATTAGGTTACCATTCCTCATCTTAAGTGATGTTATTTCGATTATACGGAGCAGAATGCAATAAAAGTCACCGCATTGCAATAGGATTGTAGGAAAAGAGACATTATATTAAGCGATAAACATTATTTATATACGATTATGCACAAAGAAAAAATGAGAGATATGATCGTCAAGCAACTATTGAGACATGCACTAAAACAGAAAACAACATTTGTTCAGCAATTTCTTTATACATTTTGATTCACAATACTCTGATTCCGAATCAATAAAATCATTTCATATAGACTACGTATATGTAGATATTTTTTAGTGCAGTAGCGTAACCAGGGAGGGCCAAGGGGGCCAGCCATTCCTTTGTAAATAAATAAACGAAGAAAAAAATCAAATAAGAACAGGATATTTAGAGGTGATAAACTCATTTATATGCATGCAAATACAATATTAATTAATATTATAGTATAATATACAGAGTTAACTCTTCATCTATAGCGATGTGTGTAGATGTGCATGTTCTAATTCGTGCTCTCCCTAATATCGGTTCTGTTTACGTTACTGTTTTAGTGCTTATCTTTTTATATATTGGAGCGAAAACACATGTTTACCGAAAGAATTTTCATTACAAACATCAAAAACATGGCTAAATCTAACAGGTTTTCAATGTAAACAGCATCATTCATGCAATTTAAGACCTTGTGTACTGTACATAGACAATACGTAATTATTTTCTTTACAAATTTACAGTACTTTCAAAATGTTTATTTTTCAATTAACTGAATTAAAGAGACGACATTGAATTATTTATAAATAAGTTTGGTTTCAGAAATACATTTCTGACATAATTCATAAAAATATTTTGTATTATCATATAAAGATATCCATTCAGATATACGAACGTTTCTGTTTACACATTTAAATTTTTTCTCTAACACCAATCGACGTGTGACGCAACGTGACGTCTTCGTTTCCCATCATGCAACCCTCTACCGATTAAAGATGGCGTAAAGTACTGTATTGCAAGAATTATGACAGTTCAAACTTTACTTTGACAAGACGTTGAGAAAAATGGTTAGGCAAAATATGATAAAATGGATAATATATTTCCTAATTCTCATTCTCAATCAAAGAATCGTTACGTCACGAGAAGGTGAGTTTACAGCAACGTGACTGATCCTATATCTTACAGCAATATGTGTATATGTATATCTGTGTGTTATTTTACGTGTTATTAATTTAATATACTGCTGTTACCTATCAAGTTCGAATTTGTGCTATGTTATGCATTCTAAACAACATAAAATACAGTAGAGAATTATATTGTTAACTTGTAAATTGATTATGCACATGTTCACATATACATAGAGCTCTATATATAATTTATATACAGAATGGAAACTGTTATCAGTACATCACATCCAATATATATTGCAGTATATTACATGCAAGCTATATACAGTTATAAATCACATAATATAGATATAAATATACTGAAAAGATGTATTTTTATTACCTAATTCTCCAAAAAAAATAATATTTCATTCATTTATAAATGATAAAACATTATATTCTTAAATAAATAAATTTTTATAAATGAGTCAAGTCCAGTTTATCAGCAGCAGTTTCTGTGTTGAGTAAGTATAACATTAAAATTGAAGATAAACTGAATTTATATCAATTCCTGGCACATATAAAGTACACAGCTGTTTACATGTTAAAGAAAAATTTTAAAGATAATGTCTTTTATATTTCTGCTTATTCTAATTAAGTGAAGTTAATTAAATGTTATATTGATGTTTTTTAAGATAAATGTACAAAATTATAAAATCAAATTCTGATAGCCACATTTTGTTATTTTATCTTTATAAAAATTTTATGTTATATATTTCTTAAATGAATTTATCTTTATTTTTGTATTAAATTTGATTTATTTAATATTTTTATACTTTAAAGTAATGCTGAATTTAAAATTTAATTTAAAATTTTGTTATTGATAAATGAATTTAATTAATTTTTTTATTTATTTTACTTTTTAAAGAGAAGAAATGAAAAATTGTAAATATGTATAGAGTATATATAAAAGGAAAATCTTATTATTCATTTTTGTTGATAAATATAATGTTTAGTTTTATTAGAAAGCAAGATTATAATTTAAACATAAAAATTTAGTTATTAAAAAATTGTTTTTTATTAATAACTATTCAGAAAAAAAACTTGAAAAAAATATATTATAAATTAGACATGACTTTCAACATTTCTGTATTTTTATTTTTTATTATTTCTTTATTTTTTCCTACTTTTTTTTTGGTTGAAGGAATAAAAATATTTTAATCTATTTTTTCCTTCTTTACTCATTTTTTTTACATTGAAAAGTGCTAAATTTGGTATACTTTTATGTAAAAAGATAATTAAATTAATAATTGTCATTGTATTATACAATTTTGTAAAAGTTTAGATAAATGTAATTAACATACAGTATATATATTAAATGAAAATGAAGGTCTAACATTTAAAATAAAGGACAAAACACAAAATGTCTAGCCTTTAAGTTTACGAAGAAATATATTTTATTTATTTTTTTGACATTTAAAGTTAAGATTTGGAGAAGTATTTTTTTTTCTTTTTAGTTTTATCGTTATGTAAACAAAATTAAAACGTATTTCTGATTTCTTATCTTATTATTTTTCGACGGCATCAGAGAACATTATTTTCCATTCTTGATCTTATTTAATTTCAACACATTTTCGTGTTTGCTTTTCTTTTTAAAGAATGTCCTCCAGAATTATAAAATTTGTCCAAGTGAAATTACATTCAACAAATTTGAACTTCGGATCGATAATGCAAAGGCGACCAACCGCGATCTTCATTGTTTAACACATCAACTTCCTGTATCCTACTGCACGTGTTATTTAACATCCGGAAACGAATTCGTACATTAAACAGCTGCCCCGTTTTTACTTCTTCAAACACCGTGTAGGAGTATAAAAGTTAAATATATTTACGTTTAATTTTTAAAATCGAGAAAAATTAAACGTAAACAAATTTTAATTAAAAGTTCTTTAAAATTTGAAAGAACTTAAATGGATTTACCGGTAGTTGCAAATGTAGTTTTTAAAGAAACTTTGCATTTAGTTATGACTTTTTTTAAAGACAAATTTTAATGAATATACGCGTAATAAACTTACATACATATTAAATTTTTATCTGTATTTTTTATTTTAATTAATATATGTTGGTTAAGGGATAAAAATGATGACGTCAAAAGATACCTGTTGCTCTTACGTGATCATTGCTACTGGCAACGGATGATAGTCGATGGGATTGATTGGAACAACTTACGCAAAAGGAATCTCTAGAAGTGGCGACATCATTGTAGTACATATTGGATTATTCTTGCATGGAATGTATAGAATTTTATTACTATTTACTGTTAGTTTCACTCTAAGTCTTCACCTAGCTTTTATCTATGTAAACATTCCGTTGTATCGATGTGTTATTTAACTTTAAAGCATTTAAACCACACGAAAACTACACGTGTTGCTGCGTTTTAACATATACAGATATGTTTAAAAAACTAATATATATGAAAATAAAACAGTGTCAGCGACTTCGTTATAGAAATTAGCTAAGAAAATTGTATTCTCTTTCTTCCTCCTCCTCCTCCTCCTCATTGCAATCTCCGGTTACCTAGGTAACCGTCACTAAGCAACATTACAGCATCCAGTATCTTCAACGAACGATTCCTACGTCGACCATAGTATCGTTTATTTGACAAGACGGTCGAGATTTTCCCTGTTCTATTATTTCATCTTTCATGGCATCGACTGTATTTTATTCCAGTCTTATTCTCCAATTGGTTTTGATTAATGTCCAAAGAGGTAGGTGCTACCATATGGTGTATCACGTGAGTTTTGCAGAGTCGGCATTCTGATTTTTCTCAACTTTTGAATCGGTTTTATAACGGCATGCGAAAAAATATTATTTTATGGACCGTATGTAGTTTAGATTATATGAGAATATATTTACCAGTCCCTACATATCCTTTTTTATAAACTGTTGTGACAATGTATGTTATGATTTCGGTTAAAAATGTAATTTTTAAAAAATATTTTGCTGTTAAATGAGTCTTTCTGTATAGTTTAATCTCAAACACACGTATTTATTCATTGTAATTTTTTAAAAATTGTTTATAGCTTAATTATTTTAAGTAAATCGTTTAAGATTATTTCTTAAGTTATGTGAAAATACATCTGTGTTAGTCCGTAAACAAATTGATAGAACGAACGTTTATATATAAATGACACATTTAATACATTATCAAATAGGTGTTAAAAATGACACCTATCATTGAACTGCTATGTTTAAAAAAGAAATTGCGAAGTTTTTAACGATATATTTGAATGTGTATTGCTTGTGATTATTCAAGTAGAATAGGATTTACAGATTTCTTAAGAAGAATCATCAAAAGGAAATAGTCTAGAAGGAATTTCATTTGATAATATTTACATTTCAAATATTAGCATTAGAGATTTGATAAGATACACTGCTTTTTTTACAACCTGATTGGAATGTTTTTTTATGTGAATAATTTTTAAAACAAAATTGGTTTGATGAGAATATTTAAATGCTAAAAGATAATTAATTTGTAAAATTTTGATTGTTTTAAATCAATATATAATGATTTTTCTTTTACTTTAAGTTACATAACTTGTTTTTTATTATAAGTTTCAAATGAAGAGAAAAACTTTTAAAAGATGATTTTTCAATCTATTTATTATATTATTATAAAGTTTAATAATAATTGTAATTTTGTTAATTAAAGTTACAAAATTAAATTATCTGGAATAAAAATCATCTTTGTAGAGACTAATGGATCTAGATATTGTCCAGTAATTTAATTTGACAAGATTCTGTACTTCTAAGAGATAATCTGATCTATTTAAAACAGCTATTACATGTATAATAATAATAATAATGGCTCTAAAATGACAAAAATAAATAAAATTTTTATAACTTGACAACTATGCATGTGTTTCCTCTATGTTAGATTTTAAGGTTTAATTAAATTATTAATTGAATATTTAGTTAAAAAATATGTCATAGTTATGTCTTAAATAGATTTTTACATATTTTTTCTTTATGAATTTAAAAGTAATTCAGAAGCTCCATTTTTTTTTTTTAACATTTTCAATTTTTCAGTGTATTTAATTTCCAGAATGCACATGTTATGAATAATTTTTTTTTTTTATGTAAAAATATTAAACAGTTAAAAATAAATGTATTTCTCTTTGGGATTTTAATTACATGCTACAAGTACAAATCTAAAATATATTTTATATATAATACTATGTTTATTTTATATATAAATAAAATAGAAAAAGAAAAATATTTAATATATAAAATGTATTGCAAAGTTGGAAAAAACTGTCTCATCTGTCTTAAAAGAATGAAAATTATCATGATGATATAATTGTTGTTTTAACTGTATTATGTGGAAAAAGATGTACTGTACAAGATATTCATCATTGATAAAATTAAGAAGTTCTGACAATTAAATGTTTCTTCTCTCTCTTTCTCTATTTTTAATTACTTGAAATTATTTTAATTACAATAATAAATTCAGAATATTCCACACATGCAATGTTGTTATTATTACATATTTATAAAATATATACATATTAATTTAGTAATAAATGTGAGATATAAATCTCATGATTAATATTTTAAGCAGTTTATTTATTTATTAGCATACTAGGTAGAAAACCTTTGATGCCAAGAAACAATTATAATAAAACAAGAATTAATATTTTAAGTAAATTTTCTTAAAAGATTATAGAAAAAATGGTTTGGTTGTAAATCTTTCTCAAAGAAGACAGTTATTATTATAAATTAGCATATTTGTTCAAAGTTTAATTTATGAAATATATATTAAACAAGATTTTGTGTAAAATTGATTACTTGTAGACAATATTTTCCAATATGTTATATCTATTTATCCTGATGTCATTAATCTTTGTACATTTCAATTTTCTTTTAATAAAGTAATGAAAAATAGATTTCATACCAAATTTTACGCATAAAATTGTTTAAAATAAAAATAGTCTTTCTAATATTTTATCTTTTTTTTTAATTTACAACTAAAAACATTTCTGAGTTGTAAACTATTTTTGCAAAATTGCTTGACGATGATGAAATATTTTAAATTTATTTCATATTAGACAATGGATCAATATACTTACTTGTTAGCATGTTGAAAATGAAAATGTTTTACTTTAAAATGATAAAAATATATGAGGAAACCCTTTAAATATTTTATTCAAGCAGATGTACAAAATCATAAATCTGTAAAGAATTATATTAGTATAAAAATGTTATATCCTTCTACCAGTTTTTCCATTAATGATCAGTTTATTAAGTGTATTAAAAATTGTTTACAAAGATTATTGATTTTTATAAGATCTAAAGAATATCTAAATACAGTTTTTTTAAGTTTCAAACTGTGAATTAGATCTATTTTCTATTTATAGATATTGATTATAAAATGTCTGTTTCAACTGGTCTGTTTAATAATTTTTACTTGTGAGAAAATAAATGGATAATTAAAATATAGCATTCACAAATTACAAAATTTTAATATTAGAGAAAATATTAAAATCTAAGTTCCAATATTAAAATTAAGTATCCAAAAATACATTACGGTTATAATGTTATGTGTAATGAACTTAAAAATTTTTTTTTTTAAAGATGTTTTTACAATTAATTTAAATCAAAATAAATTAATATGAGTTTTGATGATGTAATTTTAATCAAATTAGTTTATTTTTTTAATGAAATCTTGATGATGATAATGATACAGTTCAACTGATATACATTCTGGTAAATTTAATGCTATTTTACAGGTGAATCAACAAATGCACATACAAAGATATGACTAATATATGTAGTACAATTTTCTTATAAATTCTTCCAAGAAAAAAAAAAAAAAAACGGATTAATATAGTTTACTTAATACAATTTCAACTGTTCTAAATTAATCATTTCAAAGATAAAATAATAATAATTTATTTTAAGATATGATTTCATGCATATCAGTATCTCTTAGACACTAAGTTTAGTTAAAATATTTTATCAGTTATTTTGTTTATACTGTTAGAAAAAATTATATTAGATATTAAAATTTATGGTTAGTGATAAAAACATTTTATTTCAATAAAAAATAAAACTTTCTTTTTTCATTGGAAAAAAGCTTGAAAAGTTTTGTAATTATCTTTATTCTGACACAATTCAGTATTATTACTGTGAAATTTGTACAATCTTTTATAAAGTAGTTATGTTTTAAATGAAAGTTTAAAAAATATAAATTATTTATGTAAATGAAGATTATATAATTTAATCATGCAATTACATTAATATAATTAGAGAATAATTTTTAGGCATAAAATATTTAGAAAATGACACTTCTCTGCCAAATATTTTTGTTAAGTTTTAACAAATGTGCTTAGCAAAGAAATTTTTTTGTTTTTTGTTTTATTAAAACAATTTTTATAATAATTTTAAATTATGTACATATTTGTATAAATATTTGAATTAATTTTTTAAGAGTTTTAGTAAAACTGCTAAAATTAGTTAAATAAATAAATTTATATTGAAAATCTTTCCATAATTTATTATATTATACTGTATATCATATTTTTATATACTGCACAATTACTATACACAAAATCAAGATTTAATTTTGATAATTGATTATCTTTAATACTAAATTTCAAAGTAATTATTCTCAGTTAATCATATAATTAAGGACAAGTTATATGTAGTGAGATGTGCAACAGAAGATATGATAGCTTAGAACTGGGACAAAAAACTGTGGGATGCTGATGTGGGAGTGACTGGAATAACTAAATGTAATGTTACAATCTGGAAACCTCTGGCTTGAATAAATCATTGTACACAAAATATTTTATAAACTAAAATATTTTAGACAAATTCTGTATTTAAATATTTATTTCTGACTTATTGATTATTATATTTTATAACTTTTCTATTTAAGCATTTAATTAAAATTTAAAAAATATAATTGACAAAGAAAGATTTAAAATTAAAGAATATACAGCAATTTCACAGTTATTGTAATTTAAATATAATTTATTTAATCACTTGAAATGATTATAATTTTTAATAAAGCTAAGAATATTTAGCAGACAATAGATAATCTCACTATGAAGTTAAGATCATATTGCCTCCTTGTGTTCCAATGATATATCAGTAGTTCATTTCATTTGAAATGGATTATGTCATTGGTTTGCTTACTCTACTGTATTAAAGACACTTTACCAGGCAATGTGTACAATTGTCTTTATAAGTTTATGAATTTTAATATTGACAGTCTTAATTCCATTATCCTTAAAATTAACACAGAAAAATTTAATAATAATAATTTGAACTCAATACACAACAATAAAAGAAATAACAGAAGTATGAAGAATAAAAAAAATTTAACTTACCATAAGAATAAGTTAAGAATAACTTATTTTTATAATTATAGTGATATGAGAATTTTTATTTTAGTTAGAATGTGTGTTTATATTAAAATTGAATGAAACTACTTTAAAATATTTAAATATATATTTAACATTTAATTTAAAATTACATTTGATACTATTGACGATTATTTTAGATTTTCATATGAATTTGTACTGTACTTATAAAATTACTACTGTAGCATTATGTTAGCTTTCATGTAATTTAAAATACCTTGTTTGTGTCTTCTAGTGTCATGCAGACATTTTTTTCTAATACTCTACAGAATAATTAGTTTTAATGATGTAGTTATAAAACAGCTTACATTTTTTGTTGTGAAATTTTAAACAGTTCATTT